CCCGCCCCCGCTCAGGACCCCCTTCCCAGCCCCAGCTGTGCCTGAAGGCGCAGGGCTCGCTGTCCAGAGCAGAAACCAGCGCGTGGAGGGCGCCCCGCTCCAGCCTGGCACTTGCTTCACAGGGTGGGTCTTCTCAGTGCTCCCCGAAAAGCACCCCGTATCCTCCCCAGGCCCCCCCATCCTCATGGCCTTGGCCCCGCGCCTGGCCCCTCCAGCCTAGTGAGCCCCGTGCTGGCACCGAATCTCTCCCCAGGGAGACCCCTTCGTTCCCAGAACTCCCCCAAGGAGACGACATGCAGCATGTGTTTCTTTATTTCAAGGAATGGACCACAGACGCGTCCCCAGATTCGGGATGGGGGCGCGACAGAAACAGGGGTACAAAACCTGGGACATGAGGCAATCAGCTCAGAGGCGGCCCCCGAGCTCGAAAGCTCCGTGTGTACCTACGCGTGTGGGCGCTCACACACACACGTGGCAGCGGACACCGGCGGCCAGACGCCGTTGGCCATCTGCCTAAAATACTGCAATTGCATTTATTTAAAAAGTGTGGAGTGGGAGACCATCAGTCCGGCCAAGCCGCGGGCCTGCCAGCGTTGGCACTGTTCCCACCCCACCAGCAGGACGGGGCTGCCCCAGGACTTCCAGCTAGGCTCCTGCCCAACAGCTCAAGGGCAGAGCAAAACCCCAGGAAGTTGGGCGGAGCGGCGCGGGTATCCCTCCCGCGGCGGCTCCGGGGCGACACAGGCAGGGTCTCAGGAGGGGCATCAGGACCAAGGAGGCCCTGGGACCCCTGGCTTGCTCCTTCACCCCCTGCACTCCTGCTGGGGAGTGACCCTCTAACCCGGGCAGGCCCTCCGACTCCCCACCTGCGCCAATCTCACCGGGCAAGTGGAAGCTGGACTGGGAGTGAGAGGCCAGATGACCAGGGAGTGGGCCACAGGACAACAGTGGCATTTGGCTTAAGCATTAAGGCCAGTGCTGGGCGGGGGCCCTGCTGAGAGGCCAGTATCTCCCCAAGAGGAGATGGGTGGCCCCTGGGTCCCTGCTGCTGTTCTCCTTTCACCAGGGCGCCTCTGTCCACAGTGGCCGAGCTCCCAATGTCTCTCTGTCTCCCTGGGGCTGGTTTAAAGTGCTGGGTGCCCAGGAGGGAGGGCTGGAGCTGGCCCCGGAGGGAGTTCCACAGGCGATGGCCACGCACCCCGAAGCCACGCTCCCGAAGGACTCTTAGGTGAAAATGTAGTTCATGAGCAGCTGACAGGCCAGGAGCACGCAGAGCAGAAACCAGGAGCGGGGGCTGTGCAGGAGGCCCGGGGCCCCTGGCCTGGCCCTGGCTGTGGAGCTGAGCATGGCCGAGAGGTGTCTGCAAGGACAGGGTTCAGTGACTCAGCCAAGCCAGCCAGAGAGGATGGTGCATTCCACTCCCATCCCCCCTGGGGTTGGGAGTATGCTGGCTTGAGCAGGAGGTGGCTAGGGGGGAGAAGCCAGGGTNGTTCCACGCCCCCTGGGGTTGGGAGTGTGCTGGCTTGAGCAGGAGGTGGCTAGGGGGGAGAAGCCAGGGTGGGGGGCGGCACACGAGCTCTGAGTCATCACCTCTGTCCGCTGCCAGGTAGGGAGGCTCCAGCTGTGCTGTTAGGCATTGCTCAGACCAGCCCAGGCCTCTGCTCAGCTCAGACATCTGGGCCCCACCTGGGCTCAGCCCTTCTCCCAGCAGGGGCCCTCCTGTGGTCCCACCACTCTCAGTGCTAATTCTGCTCTCCCCTTCCTGCTCCGCCCTGCACACCCTGCATCTTCCTCCAGGAAGCCCTCCCTGCCTATGCCTGTGGCATATTTTTCCCTTTCTCCTGGTGCCAGCAGCCCTTCCCAGGCTATTAGTACAATGGTGTGAAAGACCTCTGTGGTAAGTATGGGTGGGTTACAGGGAAGGGCCAGGCTTTGAATTGCTTAATTTCTCAATCCTAGGTTCTTGGGAGCAGCCGGGAGCAGCCCAGAGCTAACAGCTACCAAATGCTAGGTGGGTACTGGACAGAGCTCAGCCCCCTGCACCATCTTCAGCTCACTCCAGGGGCACCACTATCAGCCCATTTTACAGAGGGGGAGACTGGGGCACAGGCAACCTAAGGTCCCATAGCCAGCAAGTCCTGCAGCCTGGACTGAGAAAGGAACCAGGCTTTGGAGCAGAGCTGGAAACTGTGGCTCTGCTTCCCCCCATGGGGTGTTTGCTCACGGAAGGGCCCATGTGGCCAGGGTGGCCCATACCTGCCATGGTCACAGAACATGCCTCGTAGGCTCTCCCTGCCCAAGGGCAGCTGCTGGCAGCACCCGTCTCAGCTCCCGCCAGGCTCCGTGCCACCACTGACCTGGGGGTACTGCTCCCATTCACTGGGGCTCCTCCAAGCCCATGGGCGGCCCACACCCTCCTCTGGCCTCCCTGTACCATCCAGCTCGCTGTCTACCAAGCACCCATCTCAGCTGCTCACAGGACTCCCTGCTGCCCCCGCCCCTCGTAGGGGGCAGAGGACTGGCGGTCTTCCTAGGCCCTCGCCGGCCCCCAGGCCCCTTGAGGGACCCAGCTCCCAGCGACCCTCGATGCACCTCCGGCCTATGCGCTCCGGCCGGCCGTCCTCTCCCTCCGGGCGCAGGGAGCCTACCTGTGGAGCTCCTGCTGCGCTTCCCGGATGGACAGGACAGCCTCGTGCAGCACCTGCAGCCGCCCCGCCTCCTTCCCACACCTTGGGCACGGGCTCTCGCTGCCTGGGATGGCACGCCACCGGTCGCAGGACCAGGGGACATAGGAGGGGACAGGGGGGGAGAACGGAAGATGAGCTGGGATGTCGGGGAGCCAGTGTGTGGGGTCCTGGGGTCTTTCCCAGCTCAAGCCCCTGCCCTGCCTTACGGGAGCCTTCAGGACAGAGCTAATGTTACCAGGAGACAGGGAGAGGCACCGAGGGATGTGTCAGGAGGGACCCCAGGCCCAGCTGGCCCCTAATAAGCCCTGGGAGACAGAAACGGTCAAGTGTGGTTCAGTACTGCAGAGGTGGGGACAAAGCTGGGGACACAGGCACTCCCACCATGAGGGCAATGGGTGGAAAGGCAGGGTGGGACCAGAGGGCCACGGACAGCTGGACGCTTCCCAGCCCAGCCCCTCACATCACCACCTGCCAAGGGAGGTGCCCTCAGCTTTGAGCACAGGTCTGGGGAGCCTTGGCTGCCTCCCCACACCCCTCATCTGCCCCTGGGCTCAGGGAGGCCCCTGGAGGACCCCTGGGGGGATGGTCAGGGAGGAGGAGCTTCCTTCTGGGCCACTGGCACACGTACACCTGGGGAGGGTACGTCTCTGGCTTTCCCACCCTGCCCAAGGGCCTGCCCAGGAGGGCTCACCGGGGACAAAGTCTCCGTCACCATCCTCATCTGAGAGCTCTGGGCAGGACTCGGGCGTGGAGCCGCTGCTCTCGGTGACCTGGCTGTGGCCGGAGGGCTGGTCGCTGGCCTTGCGAAGCCGCCGGTCTGGGCCAGGCCCCTGGAGAGAGATGGAGGCACTGGGCGGGGGAACCCACCTGCTGGGGTGCTGCTGGCCAGGGGACATAGGGGCACCTTTAAGCTAGGACAGCTCTGGAATTGGTGGCTTACAGAAGAAGAAACTCTGCCCTGGCTTGGGCTGGAGCGCTCGTCCCTCCCCTGCCGGGCCTCAGTTTCCTCACTGACAATCTGGGATGGCAGCGGGGCGGGCAGTGAGCCCGTGCGCCACCGGGGGACATGCCAGGCTCCCCTCAGAGAGCACAGCTTCCTGGAGCCTCTGCCTTCCTGCT